CACGACCTCCCCCGACGCCCTCGTTCCTCATCTCGACCCAGTAGGAGATCTGGGCAACTTCACCTACGCCGTGTACCAAATGCCCCCTGGCAAGGCATACATGGCTGAAGGCACAACCTGCACATGGCCAGAGTGGATCGAGACCTGGGGTCGCATCAATAATGTCCCTGTCAAGTACCGCCAGGTGACGCCAGATGAGATGACAGCCGCTACACCTGATCGCGATGCGGGTATCGAGACTGGATACATGTTTTCGTATACTTCTGATCCGGGATACGATGGCGGTATGAAACTCTTGAGGGCGAAGGATATTCGTGAGGTATGTTATAATCCATGCTTAGAATTTGGACGCCTACTGACTTAACAGGCTGGAATCGACTGCCCCATGACGAGCTGGGAGGAATGGGCTAAGAAGTACGACTGGTCTGCTATTCTTAACAAATAAGGGACCCAGGATATTTAGGTATGATGATTATTAGCGCAAAATCTGTTGCAGGTGGAACTTTTTAGAGTAGACTACATTACGGCCGAAAGCATGACGAATAAATATGAGAACTACCTTTCCTTTCAGTTCGCTGCAGAATTCCACAGTATAACATCAGATGATAAAGTCATGAAAACCGTCAGTTCTCCAGCTGCCACTTGGCGACTCCCGTCGCATGTAAGTTGACGGTATCAAACATCGGCATATCGACATCCCCAGGTTTCAATATCATCTGTAACTCTGTACACCCCAAAATAACCCCCTCCGCACCTCTCCCATGCAAGTCCCTAATCTGATCTAGATAAAACTCCCTTGACTTCGGCAGTAACTTATTACACGAAAGCTCTTCGAAAATCACACGATCCATTCTCTTCCTCACCACCTCCCCCTTCGGAACAAGAGCCTCAACCCCAAACCTCTTCTCCAGCCTCCCCTTCAAAAAGTCCTGCTCCATACTAATCCGTGTCCCCAACAACGCAACTCTCTTCAACCCCGCTTTAACAATCGCATCACCCGTGAAATCCATGATATGCAACAGTGGAAGACCCGTTGCACTTTCAACATCTTCTGCCCAGCGATGATTCGTGTTTACGCAGAGAACGATGGCTTCTGCGCCGATGGACTTGAGATTCTTTGCCGCGGTGCAGATTTGGCGCGATACTTCGTTGTAGTTGCCTGCTTGGAAGAAACTGAAGAGTTCGGCGTGGTCGAAGGAGTGGAGGAGGAGTTTTGAGGAGTGGCCGCCGCCGAGACGGTTTTGGACGTAGGCGTTTATTTGTTTGTAGTAGAGGAGGGTTGCGTTGTAGGTTGTGCCGCCGAGAAGACCTAGCACACGCATCTTTTGTTCGTAACCGTGTTTTCTTTTCCTCCTTATGGTGGATATCAGGCAGAAAGTTGTAAAAAAGTGGTGGAAGTGATGAGGGGAGTTTGTTGACTGAACGACTTCACGATTGAGGTGGGGTTTGTTGTGTTAGTGCGAGACCTGGGAGGAGCTAGCTCTAGCGCGCTAGAAGTAATCCTATTGGCAGGAATCCCTTATCGGCTGTCGTTGATCTTCCAAATGGACCCGCTACTTAGTGCTACTCTAACGGTCACGTTCGAGTAGACAATTGTTCTAAACAACAAGTCAAACATGTTTGGACCGTCGACATTCAAGTCCCTTGAGTAAAGCTAGTACTTATATACTCACTTGCACTAAACAGTAATCTGCTGGCCTAAGTCTTGCTGCCTTAGCTTGAAGTCTCCAGTACAATCGGTTGAGCTCTTTAACCTAGAATGCTTCAAGAACACAGTTGAAGGAAAGAATGAAATAAAAATAAAACATTTTTCAAGCAGAGAGTACTTAAGCAAGAAAACTTTGCTCTCCCATTTATGCCGAAGGGTCAAATGGCTCTGTTAGCGATCATATACGTATTCTATTTAATAAATAGAATGATACGCTCCCGGGTAGCATCACCAAGCTTAGCACGTAACAAGTAGACATGCGAAAAGCATCAGCATTTGGTGTTTGCGCAGTTGTCACCACTAGAATGGAATTTCACATCTTCCCTTACTTACTGAACTCTTTAATTTCTTGTCCAAGTTTCTGTTTGGTAGTTTCCGGGATCCGTATTAGCGCGCCGGAGGTCCGCGGGGCTCGGAGATGACTCCGCGG